GGGTCTGTTGCTGGTGGCCGGACTGTCCCTGCCACTCATTCTTTTCCTGAGTGGCAGGCATATCGCACGCAGCAGAGATCAGCCTGAAAGGGGGACAGACAGCCCTGTCTGGGTGGTGGTTCTATGGAAGCTTTGGGGCCTTGTTTGCCATAGACACGTGGCTTGATTGAAGTAAAAAATCCTACAGTGCACACTAATACCTTTCCAGAATGACTGTTCACCCTTGACTGAGTGTGGTGGTGGGACTGTTGGGGGCTTGGCTTTTCCTTTCTCTTGGTTTGATTTATTTGAATGTTCCCTTCCATGCTTTGTTAGTAATTTATTTATTTTTGCATTTCTTCTTGAACTTTGTTCCTGATTTCCATCTTTTTTTTTTCTTTGAGCGTTTTAGAGTTATCTCCCCCAGGTAAATTCCTAAATTCTTTAGGCTCACTTTATTTTCTTGGCAGTTTCCTTGTATCTCTTATATGATCTCGGCCTGTGAACATTAATCAGCAGAGAACAAAATCCATCATTTCGGATGCTTCCATCAAGATACCACTTGGTCTTTGCCCTCCCCATCATCCTATTCTATAAAGCAGGACTCAATTTCCCATAAGCAGAATCTCTATTTAAACCCCACTTGCCAAGTCTTGGTGAGCTTCCTATTTATAGTAAAATTCTTTTTATAATGATCTCATACATGGTACCAGGAAATTGCTCACAGCTAGGTCAGGCCATAGGCCGGTATAGCTGTGGTGTGAGATTTACTGAAAAAAATTCCTTCATGAGCCTGTGGAATTCTCTGGAGAAGTGTTTTTGCAGAGTATATGACAATAAACAGTATCACCCAGGATGGATTACTGTGGTAGGGACATTACATTTAAGCTCAAAGGGATTCTGCTTTTATCAGACCAATCTCAATAATTTTTATTGCTTTGGCATCATAATAACATATGGGGTGAATCAAGTTGACTCTGAAGAGATTTATAAAGTATTTTATATGCAAGGTATGGCCAGAAAGTGTTTGCCTCTGGACTTCCCCTGAGGCAGAAAAGTGTGATGAGGGGCAGAGAGTGTCTGGGGACACAGACAACCCTGGGGTGAGTCCCGCCTCCTCCACGTTGTCCCTGGGGCCTGGAACCAGCCCCTCTCATCTCTTTGGGCTTCAGTTACCTCATCTGTCCAATAATCTCTACTTTACGAAGTTTTTGTGAGAATCAATGACATAACATATGTAAAGCATTCAGCGTAAGACCCATCACAGTTTTGTAGTATAATAAATGTCTGCTTTTTTTTCTTTTCAAAAAAGCAGTTGAGGGGGCCGGCCCCGTGGCTGAGTGGTTAAGTTCATGCGCTCTGCTTCGGTGGCCCAGGGTTTCACTGGTTCGGATCCTGGGCATGGACATGGCACTGCTCATCAGGCCACGCTGAGGCGGCATCCCACATGCCACAACTAGAAGGACCCACAACTAAAAATACAGAACTATGTACTGGGGGGGTTGGGGAGAAAAAGGAAAAAAAAAAATAAAATAAAGCAGTTGAATAAGAGGGAGGCTGAGTGGGTAGGAGCAACCTGGTGTCCGCTTCTCAAGAAAGAATGAGTCATAGTCTTATAATTTGCTTGTATGTTTGTGGACCGGATGTTTTACCTACCATAGAAGGTGAATAGTATAATTTGTCCAGCTACCTATGGCTCTCAGCCACCCACTCATGTGTACTCTGGGAGCTAGACATGAGACTAGGCCGGATCTGGCCAATCCATTTGGACATAGACGAGCTCTTCTCTCTGAAGACTAGGGAAATAAACCAGGCAATGAATGATATTCACCGTGACAGATAACTCTGCCATGAGGAAGGCAAACACAGTGCTCTGTGCCCCTAGGAGGAGGTCCCAGGAGTGTCACTGGCCAGCCTACTTACATCTCTGCCATCCTTGTGTAAATCATTCATCCCACACATTGCTCTTAACCATTTCCTGTGTGCAGGGCATGTAGGTGTTACAATGATGAGTTAGGCATGGTCCCCGACCTGAAGGAGTAGATCATTTGATATGGGGATATGAGGAAGCAAGGGAAGGGTCATGAAAGTGATGTCAACAGAATGCCCTCCCCAAGGCCTGACTGGTTATTTCTGGCTGGGGAATTGGGCGAGCTCCATGGGAGAACTCTCACTCAGGAACCAATGCTAAATGTGTAAAAAAGTATAAGAGAACCAGATGCAAAACCTATGGATCAGTCCTTCCCACACCATTTTACCAAAATGGAAGGAAGATTTTGAGCTCACTATCGTGAGGAGAGAGTAGGAACTGAAGCAAAAAGGTTTTTTGCTGAAAATGAAGCGTAACTGTTCACTGTCACTTTCTATTCTGGGTCATTCTAGACTAAAACGGTACCCACCCCTGTATCCCCCATGTCACAACTGCACACACCAGGGCCTACAAGTGGGCTTTTATCACCTCTTCACTCCCTTGGCCAGGCACTTTCTATGGCCAACAACCAACACAAATACGTGTGGGGACCCCGCTCTGATTCAGTCTTCTCAGAAACTTCTCTTCGTCAGATGAATGAAATTCTGCTCCTCTGGTCTTTTTATATAGGATCAGTTTCTCCATCACTGTCTGCTTTACTCTACTAGATCATTTCTGAATTTTTTATTTCTTGCAGTATCGGAGTCCCTGATTCAATGGGGTATTCCACCAAGGGTCTATTGGTGGTAAAAACTGTAAGGAATTATCTGGGCATCCTTGTACTCTATATTCTACTTCTTCATCCTCATAAATCACAAGGGATACAGTGCGTTGGAGAAAACCAGATTCTTTGGTTGCTTAAAGATTGTTTGAAAGAGGAGAAAATCTGACATAATAGGAAGTCCCTAGAGAACAGGAGAGAGACAGATGATGAGATGGGGCCTCCTGAGAGTTTTACTGGATGATATGCATGGGATGCTTTGATCACTTTTCGCGCAGGAGGCTAAGTTATGATTGTCATCTCTACATTTTATATCTAGTTCATATCAATCATGAAATCAGCCCCTAAATTTAATATACTACACTTCTTTCTGTTCACCTTTCGATTGGTTTCCAGCAGAGTCCCTTAATGAGGAAACCCTGAGTTTATTTGCTTCATTGGCATGCTTGGATTTCCTTAAGAGAGTTCTGAAAGTGGTTAAGATGGCAATTGAGAGAGAAGGAAGAAAGGGACTTCTTTCTGGATTTGGCCAATGAAAATTTTATAGGCAGAGTAAAAGTTTTGCAGATGTACTGATTTTGGGAGATTATTTGCCAAACCATTCTGTGTGACATGCAGATGCTTTTGGGAGGCAGGGACTGATGAAGAAAACGCCACTCAGTGGGCCACAGAGTGTGGCCAGCTCCTCTCTCTGCCCCAAACAGCCAACATGTTTCTTGCAGAGAATTGTCTGCCTCCCTGAAGATGAAAATCAATGACTTAGAAACTGATTAAACAAGCCAAGTAACAATTGATAAATGGATTAACCCTCTATAATGTAATTCTGTAAGCTTTTGTCTTCTGTCTTCCCCAGGTAACTTTTTCTGTTCCTGGGGGCAAAACAGAGGTACGGAGGAAGCAGAGGCCAGAGGGAATCATATTAAAATGGGTGAATCCGTTTATCACTTACCGTCTGGATGGTATTTTTGCTCACATACCTGCTTCCTTTTACAAATTTTGTACCCTACGGGACCCTGGTTAATGTTAGCCGGTGAATAATGAAAGATAGCTGTAGACGTTGGGTACAGTGAGGAGGAAGATACCCTAGGGGTTTAGGCTGATCCCATAATAGAGAGACTTTTCTTTTTCGTCACAAACAGGGAGTGTTAATGTGACAAGGAAATGTCCACACCAGGGGGAGAAAAAGCAGAGGGAAATGGAGGCATTTCTTCTCATGCAAGGAACCCGTCCAAGGCTTTTCAACCAGCCCCCAGAAACTGAGGATAATTTCAGTGCTCAAGGATATGTGCTGTGTTCTCAAGGCTTTGTTTTTAAGATCATATCCCAAGATTTTTCTTTGCCTTTGTATAAGGACTTTCAGCGTAGGTGGCTCATGAAGGTCTTAAACTTCAAGACATGCTCATTAACTGACCATTCAACCCATCTCTGGCATGAGGCTGAGCTAAGTGTCCAGTTCTGGTCCTAGGCACTAGGGATCTGCTGATTAACTAGTCCTGGGTGCTCTCCATGCTGACGAGTCTGGACTTCAGGGAGATGAGGCTGAACAAGGGTGGACACCTGCCAAGATGTTCATCAGAGTCCGCAAGAGCAGCTTCACTGTCCTTCCTGGAAATGACTGCCCACCAGTGCCTCTTTGGTTTCCTTTTCAGGGACAGGGGACTAGCTTCTAAACAAGAGCATCATTCCCGAGGGCAAGGCCTAGGCATTGACTGTTCTCTCTCCTTCTAGTCACACCACTCTTTGTTGCCATCTGCTCTTTGGGACCTTGGCCCTGAGGGCTGGTTGTTTGGGGCTAGGAGAAGTTCACTTGACTAGTGGGCCTTCTGGATGCTTTGCTCATCCAGAGACGCAATCAGAGGAGCAAGACAGTTTGCGTAAAAACACAGAGATGGGAAATATTGCAAAAATCAACCAAACTCTGGTTTGCTTGCAAGGCATTAGGACAGTTGAACTGAGGAGGATTAAAAAGAAAACAGCCCAATTTGGGGCCAACCCAGTGGCGTAGTGGTTGGGTTCGTGCACTCCACTTCGGCGGCCTGGGGTTTGCGGGTTCGGATCCCAGGCATGGACCTGGCACCGCTCATTGAGCCATGCTGTGGCAGCATCCCACATAAAATAGAGGAAGGCTGGTACAGATGTTAGCTCAGGACCAATCTTCCTCACAAAAAGAAAGAAAGAAAACAACCCAATTTAACAATTTAGTTGTAACAAAACCTCGGATTCTAAACTTCATATTCCTTTTGGAGCGATTCTGCCACACTGTGGGAGAAAAGGGGCCGATAGAAACTCATCTCAGCCTAAAATTGGATTTTTTTTCAAATGTTTCCACAGCCCAGAAAGGCCCAGATGGGACAGTCATTCCTAATAACTACTGTGACTTCTGCTTGGGGGGCTCGAACATGAACAAGAAGAGTGGGCGGCCTGAAGAGCTGGTGTCCTGTGCAGACTGTGGACGCTCTGGTGAGTGTGGCCCCTCCTTGCATCATGTGCCTGTAGACCAGGAACTGTTCCACTTGCATTCCTCTGCCATCTCATGTGGGGACTGAAGGATGGAGTGGAAAAGTGATGGTGGTGATGATTTTGAGTAGAGAGGAGTTTTCAGGTCATTCTCATATTTTTCTTCTTTGGGTCTTAAGAATCAACAGTTATGCCCTGGAATCCAGGGAAAAGGGAAAGGAGAAGTTTTTGACTTGTGTCTGGCCTTTCCGTGGGTGTGTGTTGTTGTGGTGGACAAGAGTGACATAGAGTGGAAACACCTGGAGACACAGGCAACATGCTTCCTTGTATCGGGTGATGTGCACATAACTAAAAGATGTGTTTGTTCTGTGGAAGTGCCTGGGGCAACCTGGGAGAGTATGGAAACGTGAATACTGAGAGAGCAGCCACGTCTTGAACTGTGGGATTCAGAGACCCCTGGGCTCCTGAGTAGCTGCATAAACACCACCTCCATTGGCCACTCATCCCATTTTCTCATATGGAACAGAGAAGAGACCCTGAGAGATCAAGGAGACAAAAGGGCAGGTGTTCTTAGGGCTAATCTGGAGTTGACTTGGCATGTTTTGAAATGTCATCTTTCATCTATCCAAAGACAAAAATAACAAAAGAAGACTCTGGTCTTGTTGTTTCATTCTTGAAATGAGTTCAGGTCTTCAAGTTTTGTTCTAGCTGTTGTTTTTTGATTCTAACCAAACCATTATTTTTGGCTGGTCACGGTTGGTTGGTACTACCTGTTTTTTTCAAATTGTTTTGTCATAACTAGGCCAAAGTGCAAGGCAGGGAGGAGAGAAAGTTTCAGATTCGTCTTGAGTCCCATCAGCTGCTGACTAGTGGGTGAAAGACAGTTCAGCGGGGCGGTGGGTCCAGCAGTGAGGAGTCATCGCTCTTTCTGTCTTTCTATCCAGTGTCTTTTCTACTCCTAGTCCCAAGAGGAGGACTGAGATGACCACACCTGGGTTTACTGTAGCAACTCTTTTCTTCTCTTGCCTTGTCTGCAAACCTTAGCTTTAGTCTTTTTATATTTGGTGTTCAGGTCGTTTAGGCTTCAAGACTGAGTTGAATGGCAAATCAGTAATCAGAAAAGGACTATGGTTTCCACTGCACACAACCCTCAACATTTAACTCTTGAGGACCCTGACGGGGGAGCCCATCTGTGCAATTCTGTCAGTTCATTTACTTTCCAAACATGATACCTAATGTTGAACGTTTTACTCTGCTGGTGCTAGCTTAGAAGAGAGGGCCCAGGTGAGAGTGGATTCTGGGTTTTATATACTTAAAAATAAAATGAAACAATTGAAAATGAAATTCAATTCAGTGTTTTTTAAAAGCCAGCAAACAGATAAAACCCCTATGGCCAGAGGCATCACCTGGTGGAGTGATGTTCCAGGCAGAATGCTGCGGGCTACTGTGGGTTTGGGATGCGTTAGAGAGGGCAGCTTCAGAATTCCCCTTGCAGACTGCTGTGATTTCCCCCCTTCCTTTCCTACAAGAGATGGAGTACTTGAATCTGGCCCGTGGGGGACTGGAAGTGGGCAATTGGTTTTTTCCTACCCAAAGCCTCTCTCTTCACAGCCTGTGCTCAGCTTTTTCTTCCCAGGATCTGTCTGCTATGAGACTCAGGGGGCCACTTTATATCAGCCTAGGTCTTCTCATTGCATTGCTGAGGATTAATTTTGGTGGATAATTTAGTCAAGGTCTGACTCTGATGTTCCTGAAACAGTCAACACCTTGGGAACAAACAGGTGGCCTTAGCCCATGGGATGCGCTTGTTAAAGCAGATGGGCGAACACTTCTCTAGGGTCTCCCTGGAGTCCTTCCAACGAAGACTGTGGAGCTTGGAAGAGATGCCTTTCCTTTTCCATCTACCCCACTACCTCTGTTTCCCAGAGAGAAAGTGAGATTCCTGAAATTGGCACCATAAATGGCATATCATGACTTCATTTGAGAGCAGTCCTGGGGCCCACTTAGAATGTGGAAAAGCTTAAACCTGAGTTTTACAGATTTCAGGATACTGTATTTTATCAAACTTTTTTTACCCTCTATTTCTCAGTTTCTTAATGCTCTGAATCAGGTTTGACAACTCTGGACTTTCCGGAGTAACTAAGACCTGGGCGTCTTTAGCGGCTGGAGTGTGTGTGCGCGTGTATGGGCACGCGCGCGCGTGTGTGTGTGTATGCGCACAAATGTGGGTGCAGCTCACAGAAATGTCCTCCAGTGGTTACAGAAAATGAGAGACTCTTTTGTTACCACTTATCAGACTTTCCAACTTCTTTTTGCTTTCAGTGCAAATGAACTACATGGTGTAAGGGCAGAATTGAAAGGGTACCGAAAGAAGGGGATTAGAAATGGGTGAAAATAAAAATAAAACGGATGGCGGCTTAACCACCTTGAACAGGTTATCTGACAGTAATACCTTTGTAAAGCTGACTGTCAAAGTGAAGGACAAACATTGTTCAGAGAAACACCAACCGAAAAGACACCAAAGAAATACCAACCAGGCTTTAAACCCACCAAGGAAACTCATTGTCTGGGGCGGGCAGAGCGAGCGTGCATGCGTATGTGTGCATACGAAGAGAAGAAAGAAAGATCCTGGTTGAACCTTTCGCTGTCAGAGCTGTGGACATATATATAATGGTAGAGATGATGCTTTCTGGGGAGGCAAGAGTCCTTTTCCCTGGAAATGTTGGCTTTGTGCCCTTACCCTAAATCCCTGTTGCCAGGTGATGCATCCAGTTAATCCCTTTTGGTGTATAATGGTTTAATGATCTTGCTATTAAAAATAACATTGTAATAATGTAATAAGAATATTAATAATGCTGTCTGTTGCTTAACCCATGTGCTGATATATTCATCATACATGTCAGCTCATTTGGGAGGAGAAGGCAGGAAGGAGAAGGAGGCAGCGGCCGCAGCACGCACCACGGAGGACTTATTCGGTTCCACGTCAGAAAGTGACACCTCAACTTTCCACGGCTTTGACGAGGACGATTTGGAGGAGCCTCGCTCCTGCCGAGGACGCCGCAGTGGCCGGGGTTCACCCACAGCAGATAAAAAGGGCAGTTGCTAAACCCACGGAACAGACTCTGGGCAATTAGCCATCACCCTCTGACTTTGGTCATTGTTCTGGTTCTGAGATTTTTTTTTTAATGAAAGACAACTTTAGGTTTTCCCTTCCTCCTTGCTTTTTCCTCTCACCTTCCACGCGCCCCTCCTCTCCCTCTGTCTTGGGTATGTACAACAGAAGCACAAAGTACTGAAGCGAAACAGAACAAAAACGCAGAATAACAGTCCTTCAGAGAGATGGCACCACGATGTCCTATTTATTTTCCATAGAAATGGGAGGTTAGCGGATTATCTCTTTTTTTGGGGGGGAGGGCATCTTTTTGACATGAGCAGAGTTGACTTCCTCCGTTTTCCTATTGGCAAAATGAAGAGAGGAGGAATGTTGGGTTTGGAAACAAAGAACCAATAACATTAAAAAATTATTATTTATGTATTCTAGCTATTATTAGAAATGGACTGGCTTTTTGAGAGAGAGAGAGAAGGGAAATCAAAGGAGTTGAAGTAATATCCGGTTTAGAAGAAAGCCAGTGGGGGGAGGACTGATTCAAGGAGACCGAGGCAGGAGGATTCCCTCCACAGGAGATGATTGCACTTTCCGTATCCCATGGAGTCTGTGGCTCCCCACGGCAGCCCCTTCCCCATTTCTGCTCCCTGACCTTTCCATCTTCCTCCCTGCTTGCAAGAAAATGTCAGCAGTTCCTGAGAAGTCCGGGCCACCAGAGTGTGGCCTCCCCCCAGCGCCTGGGCCCCGACCCGCAGCACCTCATGGGCAACTCCTCTCCGTCAGTAGAGCTGCTGTTGTGTTGTTGTGGGTGTTTTTTCCTCACTTTCCTCCTGGCGAAGAGCAATTTCCAAATGCAGGAACGGAACATAAGCAGAAAGTCCTGGACTCAGCAGTGACTAAACAACCGGAGGCTGTGCTCATGGAAGCAAGAATGATACCTCACAGTAGATTCCCCTGCCTCGCCCCTGTTTACAAACGTATAAATTGCTGTTGGATGATCAAGTCTCCCGTATTTCTTCTATTTTTTTATAGTGCCCTCCAGGCACTTTGTTTTATGTTTTTAATAGCACCTCCTGAAATAAACCAAAGCAACATTTGCTCAAGGCCCCTGGGTGACGGAGAAGACCATCCACCTTGTTGGCAGTCCCAAGAATGAACAGCTGTATGGTCCTAGTCAAAAGGTATGTCTTGGCTGACCTGTCTTACAATGAGGGAAAAACCATCATAGTTTTGTTTTTTGGGTTTTTTTTTTTGAGTTTTTTCTTTCTTTCCTCTCCCCCGCCCCCCAGCTTGTCTTTTGTTTTTCTGGGTTTGGACCCAATTATTAGTGTGGGAGAGGCTACTGGACCTTATTCCACCCAGCCCCTTGCTGTCTGTGTGCATGCATACCCATGTGGGCCTGGGTCCAGGTGTGGGAACTGAAGCTTGCTTGGACTCTGGGGAGCTCTGAGTGGAGAATGGTGGGCTTCTGGCTTCAACTGTAAGAGAAAATGGCTGGGGAAGTGCTCGGCTAACTCTGTCTCCCTTGGCTGTACCTGGAGGTGGAGTCCAGGGAACTGAGGTTGAAGCTGGCTGCCGGCCTTGGGTAGGAATGAGGGGTACAGCTAGAGGGGACTGCATGCCTAGGGTGGTATGCCTTGCTCCAGGTACCAATTTGAGAGCCAAGGGGATGAGTCTAAAGGAAAGAAGATCTCTGATTAGGCACAACACTCAACCGAGCTGACCTAAAGATTCTGAACTCCCACTGAGTGTGGTCAGGGTCTCCAGCCTCTCTCCAGCACAGGCCCTGCCATTTGGCTTGGGTTGGGAGATCCGAGTGGCTGCCCAGGCAGCAGGCTGCTTGTAAATGTCTAGGGAGATCTGCTTTGACAGTCCAGCTTTTGCAGATCTTCATGAGTCAGACCTCTCATTCAAATAACAAACCAACCAAACAAAAGCTAGGACCAAGCAAAGAAACCCACGAGTGGACCCTTTGTGCGTCCGTGGTAGCCTGAGACAGAAAGAGCTTCTACTTTTCTCGGGCTTGAACTGTGTAAGCACTTGCCTGGGCATTTGTTCTCTGTTGTGAGAGAATGAAAGTAACCACCTCACCCACTTTTGGGATGTTCTGCTAATCTGTGTGTGGCCCTTGCTCCTAGTAAATATGGCCTAAACCTCTAATGTTACAACAGGCCTGCATGCTCACATGTGAGAGAAAGCTAATGTAGTTGGTTCCAGTTGGCTTCTGCTAAGGAGATACGACCTTCTCTTGCCGTCCTTCTCCACCTCTTCGTCTGTTCAGTTACTTTGATTCGGATATTGGGTTCAGAGCATTACGACTTGCTCTCGATGAAACGTGAACTTCCCTGTTAATACAAATATGTCCAACCAATCTGTACTATCATTTGAAATCTGTGGAGTTGTTTGTAGTCTTGAAATTCTGGATGACGGCTTACCTTTGAACTTGAAATTTTAAAAAAATCCACATAATTAAAACAAATGAGAAAAAGCCACCTCATTTCAGAGTCTGTCTTGGAGTTCTGGAGTGGAACCAGGAATGAAGAACTGTCTGAAGAAGACAAACTCCCACGGAAAGGTTTATCCGAGGATGGCTAGTGCTTATCTATTGTATCTTTACTAGTATAGCTTGATCTTTAGTTTCTCCGCTTGGGGTAGTAGATGTCCTCATCTTTCTCAGTTGGTATAGCCCATGTGAGCATAGCAACGTATCTTAGCATTGCCTAAGCACCTTGTCTCTCCTTGCATATAGGATCTTTCAACAGACTCAGAATTTATATCCTTAAAAAAACAGAGAGAGAGAGAACTGGAAGGGGCTTTGAAGATGACTGAGCTCAAATCTTTCACTTTTCAGCTGAGAAAAATCAACCCAGAGAGGTTGGGTGAGTTAGATTTGGGAGAGTGGGATAGACATTGCTTTGGAGGCAAATATCTTAAGGTGAAGGAAGGAAACTCAGAGGAGGCGGAGGAGGAGAAAGCTAGCTGTTCTGGGTGATGCCTTGATGGTTGATGTTCTGTCTTTGTCCCCCTTTCTCTATATGACAATGGCCAACATTGACATGCCAGGCCTTGTTCTGAGTGCTTTGCCTGGTGTAGTTCATTTAATCGTTATGCCTGGCCCCTAAGCTAGGTACTTGTATTATCCCAGTTTATAGATAAGGAAACTGAGGCTTAGGAATAAGGTTAAGAAATGTAATTAAGGCCCCACAGGTAATAAGGAACCAGGTTTTTATTCCTGGCAACCTGACTCCAGGACCTTTACTCTTTACCTTTACCATTGTTCTGTGCTGCCCCTTGAGTATATATATATGAAATACAGGAATATATATATTTTTCTATATTCCACCCCAATATATATGATATATATATCTCCCTTGCTTTTTCCCAGGTCCAGCTGAAGAAAGGGGGATGTTTGTAATTATAGCTTGAAAAGGTAACCTTATTAAAAGCAATGTCAAAACTGAAGAGTAAGCAATTAGATCCCCAAAAAGATAATTCCAATTAAAATTCTGTGCAGAATATTCTAGAGAGCTCATCTTCTAAACCATCATTTCTAGACCTCCTCTCCTGACGCCTATTAGGGACAAAGATCTCCTATTTCGTGACCTCAGGAATTGCAAGAGCCAGTGTGAGCAGTCAACACATCTATCGTTCTGTCGATGCTTTTGTTAAATATCACTACGCACATGTTAAAAGAAATTAGAATCGTTAAGATGAAAATGATCCGACTAGTTTCCTTTGTCCTCAGCTCAGTATAAAGTACCACCCCAAATGCCTCAGGAATGTCACCTAATTTTCTGAGTCCTAGCCCAAAGATTAGGAGAATCAAAGATATAGAACTTTCTAAATTTGTTACAATGTTCACATCCCCTGGGGGGGACTATTGATGTAAACTGTTGGTGTTGTCTATCTGATGTTTTTTCCTACCTAGAACAATCGAATCCTTTATTTCTGTTACTGAGACTGTAGAGATCAGATGTCTAATCACTATATCTCTAGGAGTGAGGAATACACATTTAATTTTTTAAGGGTACTTTCAAGTCAGTCATGCAATTTGCTGCTGGGATTTTAGAGAGAAGGATTTAATAAAAATATGATGTTCACATCAATAGTCTCCCTTTAAGTCTTCCCGCTTACTTAGCATCTCTCTCTGCACCTAATGGGCTGCAGCCTGACACTGCCTTTCTATAGCACTTGAGGGAACGCGAGATCATTACTCGGGGAGAGAGCTAAAGGCTGTTTGGAGGTTCTCACTTTGTGGTGGAATGAAATTAATTAATATTATCCCAATATGCCTCCTGTTACATCTGATGAATGTGATCTTGACTTGTACTTACAGTTTGAGCGGGCTCATGCATTAGGAATTTTTCCGTGGGGTATTTTGTTAAGCCTTTGGAAGTGGAGTTACTTGTGTTGTGTATTTTCTGAGCGAGGCATTTTTGATCTAGTGAGTAGGAACCTAGAGTAGGAATGAAAAGTTCTGGGTTCTGGACTCAGTCCTTGTGTGAGTTCGTTGCCATGAATCTTGGCCTCAGTTTCTCTATCTCTGGGAAATGGGCATTTCTTACCCTATCATAAAATACATTCAACATTATCTCATGATTATTCTTCCCATAACGTAACAACATTGTAAGGGAGGATGGATGTCATTCGTTCCCATTTTGCTGATGAGGAAACTGAGGTTTGATTAGATGACTGTTTTGAGGTTCCAGGCTCAGTAGGTGGTGTCTGGGTCTTCTGATACTCTTTCCTCAGTCTGTACTGACTTCTCCAGAGAAGTGAAATCTTCAAAGAGTAAAATCTTCATTTTGAAGATTTCTTGAGGAAAATCGGTAAAGAGCTTTGGGGTCTTTCACTCTTTGGATTGAGAGGAGGAGGTATTTGATGGTAAAGACAAAGCAAAACAAACCAAACAAAAACTCCCAACCCACGATCACATTAGAATCCTCCTGAGAAGTAGCAATATTCTAAGTCCTCGTGAACTTTCCCAAAGAATTAAAGCTGAGCTTTCTAAATGGTCACTGTTGTGGTGGTGACATTGGGCTGGGGGCTAGGGTGGGAGTGATGAGGTGGCAGGGAGTGAACGCTTCTGGCCCTGTTTTGCCCAAGTGCTTCTAACACTAAAACATTGGATTATTTGATACTGTTGTGCTTAATAAAAGTGATTTCTGACCATTTACTCAAAATAACAGTATAAGAAAAACCATTCTGTGTGACCAACTTACAAAATAACTGAGAATGGTGGAAGATCCCTGTCAGAACTGAATTATTAGCTAAAGAGCATTGGCAGTTAAGTTTTCAAAATATCTCAATACTGGCCCTCAACCAATGACTAAGACTCGTGCAAAATTTTTAATTTTGTAATAATTTTAGACTTACCAAAAACTTACACAGATAACACAAAGCATTCCTGTATATTCTTCACACAGATGCTCCAAATAACCACAGTACAAAGATCACAATCAGGAATTGACGTTGATGCAATACTATAGTCTACAGACCTTATTCCAATTTGGCCAATTGTCTTGCTAATGTCTTTTTTTGGTTCAGGATCCAATCCAGGATAAACATGTTGCATTTTGTTGTCATGTGCTCTCAAAGTCCTTTAACCTGCAGTAGTTAGTTCCACAGTCTGTCTTTGTCTTTCACAACCTTGAGACTTTTGAAGAGCACTGGCTAGTTATTTCATAGAAAGCCTTTAGTTTAGATTCTTACTGATTACAATCAGGTTATGCATTTTTGGTAAAAATTCATAGAAACGATGTTGTATCCTTCTCAGCGCATCATATCAGGGGGTGTGTAATTTATTTTTCGCCTTACTGGTGACTCAGGCACTTGGCCTTTCAGCTGAGGTTCAGGCTAGTGTGTTTGTAGACCCTGAATGATAATACTTTGATTCATATATACTTTTGTTCATTTGGTGGCTAGAGACTGAGTAACACCAGTATGCATATGACTGCCTAGCCCTGTGAGGGGTAAGATGAAATTAATGTGGAGCCAA